GACAGGGACATATGTCGATTTTTTAAGTGGAAAAATTTGATACCATATTCCTTTACGATAAATCTTGGCCTCAAGTTCATAGATGATTTTACATGCATCAGTTTTGAAAGAACCAACTGCTGTGCTAGGCAACTGAAATACAAAAGGGAATTCGCAATCATTTAAGACTTGATGAGCATTGCTAGTAAAAAGTGTCTGTGTTAAATCAAGTGTCGTTGAAGATTTTCTGTAATGATGTTCTCCAACCGACCATTGTGCGGCGTGAGTACACGTTAAAGTGATGAGTATTTTTTTCGCAAGCAAAGGGTGCTCTAATAATGATGATTTTATGTGTAATGAGCCTTGAATAGTCGAGTCCGTTATTCCAAGGTAGCCCGATTGAAATGTTTGGGTAGTGCCCGAAAAGGTAAAGTATATGTATTTTTTTGGATTTATAGATGTTTGCGACGGGCTGCTTGCGTTAATTTCAATGGTTCGTAGATTAATTTTTCGTACTGTCCGCAGCATGATATTGATTGTTAATTTTTTAAAAAAAATGCGTTTTCCTGATTATAGAAGCAAATACTGTATTTATACATGTATGATCATTATCGTTATGCTTTTTGTTTTCCCTGAATTAGACCATTAATGATCATACGCACGTAAATCTTTACCATTACCGTTACATGCATAATGATTGATTGTCGGCTTTAAGATTGTTCCGTAACGATTGTGATAGGCAGATTGGTGTTTTACAGCGCTAACGCTAGTACATGTATCCAAAATGCATGAATTAAGGGGAGTGATAACGATAACGAAAACATGCATGAGATATTCTAAAACCTCCGAATGTTGGTAAATGACCTGGTCATTTAGTATCGGTATCCAGTGGCCGACAAAAGTTATCGGAATTCAAATAGCTTTTTATTAATTACTCTGTGAAAAAATACGAAGTATTTATGAAATTTATATATTATATTCATTTTAATATAAAGAACAGATTTACTTATTTAATAAAATATCTTAATAAAATTTAGAATAAAAACTACAATTTATAAAAAATTAACAATAAAATATTTTTATTTTTACATAATAAATAAACCATTAAAAGTCAAATAAAATATAAAAACACATTCACTTATGATATAAAAAACAAGTTTATTCAAGACCATAGAATAAACAATCATATTAAAATATTATAAAATTAAAGTTTTATTACTTCATTTTTTTAAAGAAGCAATTAAATAAATATCAATAAGACATTCCCTAAATAAATCCACTCTCCATATCTCATAGCGTACATGTATTTCCATAAAATTTTATCAATTATTCATTAAAATGTAAATTCCGAAAACTTTTGTCGCCCACTGTAGAATAGTAATTATTTATTGATAAATCACTTAATCATTTTGGTCATTTCAAGAAAGTTGCCAGCACTGTTATAATGTTCCGCAAAGACAGATTTTTCACATCTTATAAATCATATACTGTATGCTAATAGTTCTTCTTTTTTTCACGTCATTTAGCAAACATTAGTAAGCATAGAAAGCATTACTCGAATTATCTTCCTAAACTGTCACATCATTATTTATTGTCTGTATGATAATTTGAAAGGTTCTATTTATTTGTGTGTCATACCTTTCCCTTTTCCAAGTTTCAGCTATTATAAGGCATGGAAAATTTGACTTCCATATAGTCACAACCTCTTTAAACTCACACTTTGCCGATCCGATGGTTGGATTCGAGCGAAATTGCTACCAGTCGATTCGTCTCGACAGAACGAATCGAATGGTGATGATTTCGTTTTAACCCAACCATCGGACATCGAGATATCGCGTTTGAAAGTGACAGATTGTTTTTCTGAATGCTGAATTTTTCTAATAAATACTTTTGAACATCCTTTTTTGGCTCTCCTGTATAAAAAATGAAAATACGAAGCTTCCAAGGAAAGCATTTACGTACTTAGAAAAGCAAAAAATAATGATCTTGGTGCTCCAGGGAAAAAAACATGGTAAGAAAAACTACAGTCACACTCCTCTGAATGCATACTCTCGGAACCAATACTACAGTATACATTTAGAGAAATATGCAATAAACATATAAGTCCCATTATATAAATCAATTATAGAAAACCGAGTCAAAAAACATGCATTTAAATGCACTTATAGGGTATACATTTAGATGAGTGTGACTGTAATTGGATTAGGTAAAATTATTCAGCGCAGCAAGTTTGTTTAAAGGCCAAAAGGAAGTTTGTTTGTGAATTGGATAACTCGCACGCCGATAACTAAAAATTTTTCGATCGTCATATCGCTATGACTAAATTATCGCAAATATTAAAATTTACTTGTTCTTCTTTATATTCAACTATTGACAAAATTTGTATTGAGTTTTTGAATCATAATTTTT